GTGACGAGGTAGAACTGCGGCTTGCGGAGCACGGGGTAAGCCATAAATGAAGCGACACCGCACATGCCAGGACCACCGACGCCGCGCTGTAGTCGAACGTAGCCGCCTTCGCCCCAGTTAGGTCCCCACGAATTCTTCAAGTTGTAGTACGGCGACTCGGCGGCGCCGTACCCGACCGCGAGCACGCCGTGCGTGAGCGGTCCAGAGCAGCCGCCGGTGATGATGCCGCCCTTGTAGAGGCGCCACGCGTCACCGCCCGTGGCCACCTCGACCGCGACCGGCTGCGTGTTGAGCGCCTTCTCGAGCGTGTCTTCGCCGGCGACCACCGCGACACTGGAGAACGGCATCGGCAGCTTCTGGCACGTCGCTTGGCACTGATGGGCTGTCGCGCTCTGACCGTTCGTGTACGGGTACGTCTCGCTTGTGCAGAGGCCGTTGGTCGCGATCCACTTGAGCGAGTCATCGAGGTACCCGCCTTGGCAGCCAAGGCCCGGGCCGCAGCTCAGCGTCTGCTGCTCGGAGAAGAGCGTGCGCCGTTGGTGGTGGGCGAGGCAGTACGCGCTCTCGGTGGCGCCCACGGACAAGAACGCAAAGCACGAGCCGCAGCCGCCTTGGTCCTTGACCGGTGCGACGCAGCCCGATTTCTTCCAGTCGACGCTGTTGGTCGCCAGAGAAATGCCTTTTGACGACTCGGGCAGCGCGGATGCGTTGCGCGCCGGGCGGGACGCGGCGACCCACGAGGCAAAAGCATCGCTCGTCATCATGGCAAACGGCGTGTCGACCGAGAACTGGGCGAGCGGGTGCGCCTCTTGAAGCGCGATGGCTGCCGCCTTGCTCGCTGCAAAGACGGCGAGCTCCGCGTCCTCGCTCGCGCCGTCAACGTGCTCGGGAAAGAGACCGTTAGCAGCAGCGTAGACACCAGCGCCGCTGGCCTTCCACGCGGATAGCTCTTCTCGGAGCGTGTCGCGGTCGTCGATGGGGGCGGCAAACACAGCAGCCGCGAGAGCAAGCGCGCCAAGAACAAGCGAGGTCATGGCGAATGGTAAAGTGAAATGCCGGTGCAGCCACGCGGTGTCGAGAGGTGACCAGATTGGATATCAGGTGTACGACTGGGAAGAGACGCTGAGAGTGGCAGCATGCCTACCACGTAGTACACGAGTCGGCGAAGCCTCTTCTTTCAAGTGTCGTGGAATGCACGCTGTAGCACGCGGCGATTCTTCAAGGAGAAACGGCAAAGTGGTGCCCGAGACCATTGAAGGTGGTCAAATGGTCTGCTCTCGGAGCGCGCCACCGACGCTAAGGTAGGGTAAACCCACATTTGGAGGCTATTGCCTCGCGCTGGGACCCAACACGTTTCTGTGTGCCTCTCGAAGAGACGCGAAACGCGCCTGCGACGAACGCGGCAGACGAGAGGCGACGCGCGACGCATCGCAGGCAAGTGGATTGAGGACCACAGCTTTGGATCAAACCCGCCACATCTCAAAGGTGAGTTCCTACCGGTAGGAAATCCCATACGCACAGCTCATACGCACATGAGAGGAAGAAGTGGGGTCAAGGCTATCGCAAGGGTCCACCGAGATGAATGCTAGCACGTCGTATTGTATTCATAAATATGACACCACTCGTGTATCACGGCTCTTCGGGAATCGGACTAAGAAGTGTTCGTGCGTAGCGGAAGCGGCTCGTGATCTTATTGGCGGCTGGCTGCAATTTGGTGCAGGGCGGCGGTGGTGGTGTTTGCGTCGCACGAGCGATGGCTCTTCGAGCCTTGGACCACACAACATGATGCGGCTCGCTCTTGGTCGCCGCGTACAAGTTGAGCATCGGGATACTAAGTGAAAATGAACCAGTGACCCCACATGAGACTGAAAGCTGTCAGCTGAGTGATGGTCTACCATCATTCCGCATTGAAGGCATGATCCTCGCTGAGCCGGGCCATACGCAAATTCCTGCGTCTCCAAGAGCGATGAAATAACTGTTTGGGAGAGGGCAATCGGCGCGAGAATCTTCTCGCTGACTTTACTCTTTTATAGCACGAATACGCAGTACTTGCAAAATGGAGTCGCGTCGGCAGAATTCAAGGTACCAGAATATGACAAGTAGTACATTATGCCCGTGTAAACCGAGTCGATTCGATTCGCAGCTACTTCCAGCACGCTTGCCGTCAACATGACGCGGACAGGGATCGCGTATGTACTAGAGCCTACGACTTACTTGCAACACGCTGCGTCCACAACTCGGTCGACAACGGTCAAGTACGTGAGGCCAAAGTGCCCAGTCATATGGCACCTGTAGCATACGAAGGGGTTTTCATTCGTGCCCGTGACAAGGAGCTCGTCGCCCACCGATTAGTTGTCGATGTCGTCGATGATCGTGGCACCGGCGGCCTTGGCCTTCGCGTGGAGTGGGTCGAGGAGCCACTTGTTTGCTTGGTGCTAAACGCTTGAAACTCAGTTGTGGCATCGTCACCGAGTCGCCTGAGATCCCAGACGACGGGTTCATGGCTTCGCACTTGGGACTCTGGTCGACGGCAAACACCTGGATCCCCATGCCGGTGAGCTCCTTCTCCATGATCGACCGCCGATAACGCTGCAACGTGACGTACGCGAGGCGACCGCTCATGGACATTTACC